ATCTTTCACCCCCATCTTTGTCTTTTGAATCACTCATCAAACCCTCTTGAACCAGAAATTGTGGCTGCTGGTAGCCTAAGCCCTCAGTGTTTCCAAAGGATGGATATATATCTAGGATAGACTACTACTTTACGGCAAGGAGAAGTTCTTACATCAGCATACTCTACCTGTGGCCATGAATATAATTTTATTCACCATGTCTGGGTAGTGTTTGCTCGTCGACAAGCGTGCACGACTTCCCTTTCTGCCTCAAAGGTAGTTGGTGTGCGCTCATCGACTAGCAAAGCCTACACAGACACGGTGATTGTCAGTAGTTGGTCCAAGTATAAGGAAAATCATAAATAAAAACCTAAATGTAGAAAGATAAGTACCTTCAATTCCAAATTACCCGTTGTTGGGTCATTAACAGTAACATCCTTCAACTGTCCCTTAGCCAGGATTTCTGCCTCTTTTGGCACTGGGCCAAATATGCCTGTGTTTGCCTTGGTGTTGCAGTATACTCCATCTGGTCTTGTTTGCTTTGTCAAATCAACATTGGGTGTCACATTCAATGTGTTCCTGAATGCTGTCACGGTCACTAATGGGACACATGTTCCTCTTTCTGAATGGAGGATTGAAGAAGGTTAGCAAGTATTTGATGCAACATGGAAGTTAAAGAAATAATGAAATCAAAAGATTAAACACTTGACTATTTTAAAGTTTTACTATCATCTTGTGCCCAGATAGGGGAGAGCCAGAAAATTGGAAAGCGGGAATTGAGCACTTCATCACATGAAGATAAAAAAGCTTGTTTTCCCCAATCTTCATGAGATGTATCAGTCTTCATATTGTGTGTCCAAGCAACATGAACAAAATTTGTCACCTTGACTTTGGGTTGCAAGACAAAAACAGTGTCTCCATTTGGATATAGTGGGTAGTTTTGCTCATCAAATTGGCAGCAATAGTCAACAAAAGTCTGAACATGGGCTGTGATGGTGGGGAGTCAAAGGTGTGGTTAGCTAACAACGTCACGGCTATCAGATTGAGGATCTTGATTCGAATTTGAATAAGAAGATCACTTTCTCTTCTTATCTTGTTTGTTCTAACTTCTAAAAAGGTACTTTCACATAGTCATCAGTTGTATGGGCTCATTCCTACATTCCTGTGTTCTTTGTTGTTTCAACTGTGTTGTAGAAACAAGCTGTACCTTGAATAATCCATAACAATTTTTTATCTCTTGTTTGGTTGCTAATCTTCAACTTGTTGTCCCCATCCTGATGATCTTTCAGCATATGGATACAATTTGACAAATTTTCCTGATAAGATGTCCGCCGGAGGGCAAGGAACACATTTCTCCTTATCCAACTCTACATGAAACAATGTGTTTGCATGCTTGAGAGCTGAGACACCCGCAGATTTTTTAAGAAGCTCCTATGTGACAGGTGATTTTGGCAGGGCCTTTGAGTTATCGACAGTGGCACGGGGATTCATATCACGCGCCATTTTCCAACCTGTCAATCTTTAAGAAGGAAAGACTCGAGTGATGTCCAAGCAATCCAGGAAAGAAAAGCGCAAATGATTTTATATATTTTTTAGGATCCCGGTATCCTCACCACCCCCCCCTAGTAACTCCACCACCCCCTCCCGTTCACAGCTAGTGAAAGGCTTAGTCGCTGCTGACACAAGTCGTGACAGTGCTAGCTTGAACCGCGCTCTCAGCACTCACTGAGAATTTTCTTTGATTGTTTCCCTAACAAAACATCATATAGGTACAATAATTGAAGGATCCTTCAAGTGTTGCGCGAAACAAACAAACAATATGAATCGAGATCGCTCCGACCGATCGAATTTGAATCGATCGGAGCGATTGGAAAACAATTCTGAGAAACAATCAATCAGACCGATTGAATTGATCGTGTCGAGTGCCTTATATGTTTCCCTTTTTTTGGGTTAGTGTGGTTAAGCATTTGAAAGACCAGATAAAAAAACACATGATGTCAGGAGAACCGATTGAATTGATCACATTGTGTTCTTGTGCTCAATCCACTCGGTTCTCAACCCTTTTGAGCAAGTGTGATTGCTCGGGTAAATTCCGTAGCTTATTGTGTAGCTGGACAAAGTTTGATATCTTTGATGACTCGATTACAAGATTCATTACCAAAGACAAAGGAGTGTGGTGTCAAAATGAATGACGAGAGCCAACAAGGCAATGATCTTGTAGAGCTACAGAGACAGACAAGGAGAGAGAGAAGGACAATTCAGATCCATGTATGTATTTGGTGGATCTTATAGTGTTTGTCCTAGGATGTGTTGAGCATTGTACGACTAGACCACTCCATGCTCGACTGTGGCCGGATCTGCTGATTCTACTGGGATAGGACAAGTTCTTTTGTTGTGACCTGTCTTGTGGCATTGGCTACATCGAGGACCGTTTTGTTCAGCTTCCTGATGCTCATGACGACAAAGATCGCGCTTGGTCTTGTTCGAAGATCCTGTAGGCCGACCACGAGATCGAATCAGAGCTGGATCACCAATGGTGGGAGTTGGACTGACAAGAATCCGGCTTAACTGACTCCACAACACGCTCTGTTGATGGGCGGGGAGAGTGTTATGTTGTGCTCGTACGAGGTTGAGTAGCGAGTCAAAGTTAGGTGGTTGGTTGTGGATAACTGGGTCAACTAAAGGCGGTTCTAGATGCCAATGAGGGTCGAAGTGGTTCACAGCCAATTTCCTCGAAGATAACATGAGATGCTTCAGGAAGTGGGCACAGGGCAATCCTTTTGATCCAGAAAGTACGTAGGTGCAGTTGTTGGTGTCATCTAAAGAAAGGGCTTTTTGATACTGCTTGTAGGTCTATTTGTGATTTGGGTTTAGAATGTTTCATAATGAATCAGGAAAGGAATTGTTGGGAGGAAACTAGACAAGAACTTACCTCTAGTAGTGCGTAGTGCGAGATTTTTCTGTTGACATCAGTCCAGATTTGAGGACGAAGTCGAGATAAAGTATGAGTTCGATCAAAGGCTATACGGTGTTCTATCCTATCTCTTTGCTGTTGACAAACAAATTCCAGCTTGGTGTATACAGTTGCAAGATCACCAGTTGATGTCCAGATCCAGCCTTTGATACCAGCATGACCACCTTCAATCCGAGAGGTGACGGTGTGACCAAAATGTTTTATATCCTTTGTCCAAGCAGTTACAAACTTTTCCTTGTGAATCACCCACGTACTCTTGATGTAATTGAAAGAAGTCTTGCCAATATCAGTTCAAAGAGCCTCAAAGCGTGCTTCGAAGTCTTCGGGAGAGATCGAGTTGCAAATTTCCTGCCAGCTGCTTTGAAACGCTTTCCATTGCTCGTCTGTTAATTTCATCTTGATGTTAGCTTGAATATTTTTCTCGATATGCCATTTGCAGAGTAGATTCTTGGTGTGTGGCAGAGTTTCCTTCAGAGCGTTCATCAAGGCGAGCTCTCCATCAGTCACAACAGCCTGCAGATTTGAAAGCTTGGACCCAAAGCACAGCTTCATCTGCTCCAAAACCCATCGATAGTCGGCTTCAGTTTCTTGTCGCATTAGACCAAAGCATAGAGAGATAGACTGATGTGTTGGTGAAACTCCCATCACGTGGAGGAGTGGCATTTGAAACCTAAGACAACCAAACCACAAAAATCAGTCAGTCTCAACTCTGATTAAACTTGATTGCTGTGAAAGATCTCACCGATTGGTTTTGTAAGTTGAATCCATCAGTAGCACATCAGATGTCCAGAAGTCCGAAGCCAACTTCACACTAGCTTTGGGGGCAACAAACAGACGTAGGAGTCGGTGATTAGAATCCAGTTCATAGGTATGGAACACATCATTTGCCTTGAGGTTGTCTATCAAAGCTTCAAGTGGAGTGCGTCCATTGAGATCCAAAAGTTTTTGTTTCTTGATCATGTTGTAGATGTCCTGGCTGGTTGACAAGTTAGTGGGATCGGATGCCTTCAAGGTGCGTAGAATGAGTCGTGGAGGAACACCTGCATTTGCAAGGTTAATAACAAAGTTGTGCTGTTCTGGTGCAAGTTTACGTGAAGCTGGTATCTCAGCAAGGTTTGTAGAAGGTTCATGATTGTTGTGCTGATCATTTTTAAATTCAATCTTCCACTGATGAGTGATTTCCACACGTCAAATTGTAGCAGACCAATTGCATCCCAGAAGTTGAGTTGAGGTGGATCGAACTGCACTGACGACTTGCTGAGGTGTTCCGCCATGAGAACAGGCAAAGACTCGTTTCTTTTGTCTCTTATGTTTATCAGAACAGGTGCGGGTGATTTTCAACCAGTAGCCTGATCCTTTGGCATAGTTCCGCAGTGCATCTTCAGCTTCTTGTAAGGATGGGTATATAACTTCGCCAAAATCCATTTTTGAGGTGTGGTGTGTTGTTAGATGATGACAAGAGTTTTTGAGTTGTGAGCTGTGGAGTTGGATGATATGGAGCTGGGAAAAAGTTGGATAGAGCTGAAGCTTTTTGGGTGAACTTCAAAAATTACAAAGATGGGAGCGTGGTTCAATCTGGCACTGTCACGACATGTGTCACCAGGCACTAAGCCTTTCACTAGCTGTGAATGGGAGGGGGGTGGTGGGGTTACTAGGGGGGGGGGGTGGGGATACCGGGATCCTTCGATAATCAAACCATTTGATCAATGAGCTTTTCATGCTGAGGATCAACATCAAGAATGGTCTGACTCCAATGGGAACAGGATCCAGCATAATGAATCCTTGAGAGGGAATGATAGATGTGAACCACTCTTGTGTGGGTATTTTTATTCGGTTGGATGGAAACCTTCAGCGTCCCCGGTGGCAGATGGTGATGTGGTACCGAGACGTCCACCCTGCTGATGTGTAATGACAAAGATGATCATGACTGAATTTGTATGTATGCACTTGGTCATGAAATATGAACCCTGTTTCCATTTCTCCAATTCTTCATCCAATCTAATCTCAACCATCCTCAAAAACTCACAAGCCAACGATCACTCAGAATATGCCAGGCAAAGCACCATTGACAGTCTACGCCGTCGTTCTCATCTCTTTCGATCATGCCTTGGGTCCAACCGTCGAATGGAGCTATCCACCTTCAATTTCTGAAGGTGAAGCAATCAGCGAACAAATCAATCGAAACCTTCCTTTCTTAGCCCTTCCAGATGGTGCACACCTTGTAGGTCATTCTCATTGCCTAACAAGTACTTTACTTCCAATGAAATTGATCACTCGGATTGATCCATTGGATTCCCCCTAAACAAATTTATCTAGCAAACCGAAGATTATTCTTATTTTCACCTTTTCCTCCCGCACATCTCAACCACTTCAACCGTCTTTGGGATCTCGTAAGTAGAAAATTTCACATGTGATGTGAAGAGTTTGGGAGGGGCCTGTCTCCAAATACCAATATCTCATGGCGCTTTCCTCCTGTCTACTTTAGATGCAATCGACAAATCGTGAGTACAGAACTCATCAACCGTGGTGTGGATGTAACTCGATCTACCGTGCAAAAGGCAGTTGGCAAGTCTAGAATAACTCCATGCGGCCCTTCGAAATTGGAATACAGCACTGACGATCAATGGTTCCTCTAGTGGTCTTGGCCAACCAACCTGTGTTCGGTTGCATCCGTGACAAACTTGGCGTTGTGACTCGTGCTCTATTCGCTCAACGGGATTTTGCGGATCGCTCAATCCTAGAAGACTTTTATCATAGCTTGGAAGCTTCATTTGAGCTTGGTTTAGGCGAGGGAGGCGGCGAAGTCAGGGTGCCAAGTCCGAGCACTGCTCCATCTGACTCGGCTCCGTTCAATCAAGATACGTCACCCAATGCGCTTGATAAAGCCTTCGATACAAATGCCGTTCAACCAGACAAACTCAGTGCAGCAGCTATAAAGAAAGGGAAGGAAAAGGAGAGGGCTGGTGATGTGGCCATCTACATGGGCACAAAGTTGGTTGGGCGGTTTCTTTGAATTGGACTCCCGGCCTATGACATTCAAGTTGACCGTTTTGTCTACCTTCACATGTTGATGATTTTTGTCCAAATTAGCTTGCGTGAGTTGATCCATCACTTTCGGCTCAAGACGTTGCAATTGGTCAAGCTCTTGATGCTTCAACGAAGGGTGAGTTTGCTTACTGCAAGTAAACCCCTTTTTTGGACACAACTGACTCGGAACTCCTACAATTTCAGATCATGTTTTATGGGCATCCGGTAGAGAGCTTGTGCACCTATCAATACTCATTGGTATGTCGATTATCTGCCATGCCCGAATTTGCTGCTGATGTATCATTCTTCTACTGTTTTTCTTCCGCCTCAAAGGTTTCCCTATTACCTTGTAAGAACTACTTCATTGGCCTTTCCCATGGTTGTAGACTAAGCCAACATTCGATATGTCACATAAGGCCTACTGGTTAACTTGGAAGATTCGGGTTCACCCATGCTGGCGGAACGTGCTCAGCATATGTCTCGACCTAGCTCACTACAAACTTCCGACCGACAGAGTTTGTTACGATATTTTGGACTTCCGTTGGATATCTTTGGCCAAGTACGTGCGTCGTTCCGCGCTCCTATAGTAGCCAGCTTGCAGTTCAACGTCATTGACAGACCTTGATTGTCATTTAGGATGCCTTTTTTCAACCATATTTACCCCTGCAGCAAATCGATATGTTGAAGGCCTCAACATTTTTAGTCGGGACTACAAATACAATCTTTCAACAACAACGTGATTGTCATATTGATGCTATTGCCAATGTGGGTCACCGTACTTACTTATTGAAGGCTATCATCGTCTTGTGTGCTGCTCTGATACCTTATTCCTTGAGTGGAGGTACTTGCGTTTAGATTGAGCTTGCCACACTTGAATTCAAGGATCCGAAACTTGCAAGCTTGGTAGCTTTGACACCGGCGGATAGGAAGTGGATGGACGAGGTTCGATCTTTTGTCTTTGATCATAATGCACTCTATGATCGGCACATTAACGCCAAGTCTGGCTTTCAGCTTATAGCTGCTGTAGATTCGTCATGGAACCCTGAAGACCCTTCCAGGCCGATAGGAAATAGGTAAGAATGACATGGTCTGATGTCTTCGCCTTTGGAGCTCTATGAATTAACTGTTTATAACTATTTCATTACCCATGTACAGATTTGTTGGAAGTGATGACTATCTAAGGCGGGAATTTGAGGTGCATTGATCTTCGACAATGTATCGCTTAAGTGCTTGATAACTAATCTTTTGGACCTCTCACTTAGAATTATGTCTGTTCTGTGGGTGCCCTTCCATACGAGCTTTCCGGGGCTGATCCTCAATATCATTAAACACAGTTTCAATTTCATTTGGCAGGCCCTCTCAGTGATCAAATTTTCTGATTACTGCGAAAATACTAAGGGGCCCAGTGTCATGTTGGCCAACAGTGGTTCGTAATATATATCCAACACGCTTCCGACTCCTCGCGATGATGCTAATTTCTTGATGACAATGCAATCCAGATTCCGCAAGTGCCAGCGTAGCCGCGTTCAATGAGCAGTTCATCCATAGTTTCAAGACTACCTGCGCATTCCAGTTATGGGACCGCAATACAGATAGGTGAGTGTAATTGTCGTAAAAGTCCACTCTTGGATATCCTGAACCGTACCCAATGATCTGGCCAACACGTTTGCGACACGCTCATCCGTATTTTTCAGCGTCATCTTCGATCTTATTGACCCACGTCATCCATGTGAGGGTCGCGTCTCAGTCGTCGAGGACGTAGGTATCAGGCTCACGCACGGTTTCAAGGACCTCAAACTAGACGAGACTCTTTCAAAAGGTTCAGAAAGTGTTTGGCGGCTGGCAACAAGTATCAAAACTGATATTGCCAAGAGGCAGGCAGAATATCGAGACAAGCTTGGAACTGCAAACAATACTGCAACCTCGGTTCCAAGCGGTGGGGAAGATCAACCTTCCAAAATATTACCTTCGCCAGAAACTGTTGACGCTAGTACCTCTAATAGTGAAAAAGGTATGAGACCCTACGCCCCATTGTATCATCATCTGTTCATCCGTCTCCTTGCGATATCCTTACTATACTGATCTTTGGTGTATCCTCTCAGGAAACGATTCGGCAGCTCAACCCACCCCACGAGCGTCATTGGCAACCACCTTCAGTTCCTTTCTGTTTGGCAATTCTACCTCGTCTGCCAAACCGTCAAGACCACCTTCTGTCAGTTCAAGCAGCTCACAAACCGTACCGGCGGTACCACAAGATACACCACCTTCACCTTCGATCAGTACTTTCTTTAGGTATAGCTAATTCTCTAATAGATCTCGTCCTTTTCTTGCTCTGTGGTTCTCCTTCTTCATTACATGTGTGTGGATGTGTGTATCCATCATAGACGTAGTTGTTATGATGAGTTTTTGCAAAGTTCTTATGTCATACTTTGATAGTACTTTGCATTGTTTTTTGCATCTTTGTAACGCAAGGAATTATCTAATACTAGAATGGACCAGTCCTTGTTAGCTTGTTGTGTGTAATAATGTGATGTCTTCTTTTTGGGTTCACAGATGATCTACATGGACATGATGTTGTACCATTCATAATTTAAGGTTACAAGCGTTTATTTTTCATCTCATCCTTGTTCAAGTTAAATCACATCATCAAGAATCATGTATCTCAATTCGATCCACAGGTCAATCTTGCTTTGGGCTTTCACAACCCATTCAGCTTAGCCTAGAGGTGCATATACAACTGTCGAACAGGCTAATAAAGAAACCATGCCATGCCACAAACTTTAAAGCCATACATCAAAACAATAGGGTCTGAGTCACAACACCAAGGATAAAGAAGAATTTGTGTTCTACTTTGGCTGCAAATTCTATGTACCTGACAAAGAGGACGACATGCTGTGTGGTTTGCTGGCATTTGACTGCCTGGGTGATCTCAAGGCCTTTTGTGCGGGAGCAGCAATAAACAATGCTGCAGACAGATACATATATGACCACATAGGACCACATTGATCAAGCAATTCATCACCAAGAACTCCGGAAAGTGGGCGGAATACATCACCAAATCAACCCCAACAAGTGTGTGCCCGTGACATCAAATTGTCCTCCTTGTCAGTACTTAAAACTGGCAGTCAAAGTAAAACCCAAATTCTTCATTCCCCTGGGTGTTGTGCTTGCCTCTGTCATGAGCTGTCGGTTGTGACCTCTGGGTAGTCAATGTGAAATGAATAAAAAAAATTGTCAGAACAGAGGTCTGCTGAAGCAAAATAATGGAAAAATATAAATATACCTGAGTCAAATCTATCACATCGTCAAGGCTTGTAGGTGGGATGGTTCACCTGAGTGCGCAAACCTATCTGGATTTGAGAAAAATGTAAATGGGACCCTGGTGAATTGAAAAACAACGCAGGCAAGATTCAATGACCCTGCAAAACCATTTGCCTGCTCAAAATTGAATTTCAATGAGCTGCGCAGAGGCTGCGGGCTGGGCATATGTGCTCTTCAGCCCGGCCCGATTGAGGATCAGCGCGGATGCCCGACTTGAACAAGACCGGGGCTCAGCTCAACTGTTGAATCACCAATCGTCTTTCGAGTTTGATTGGAACAAACTTGATTTATGTTTTGCACCGAGCTCTTCGAATTACCTCTCTACATCTTGACTTCCAACATAAACCCCTCAAAAGATCATCCCTAGGACTTGCCTATACAAACTATACATTCGGACTAACACATCAAGATGAGTGATTGGGGTAAGAAGACCCGCAAATGCGCTTGGCAAAACCATTCCGCGTCGACAGCCTCTCTGATTCTACTTGTTCACCCTTTTTAAGATGCTAGCGACAACGAAAACCAGAAGAGCTCTTTACCGGTGATACCAATCACAGCTACTGTGAAAACCAACAAATGGGCAGACGAGGACGCAGATGAAGATGTAAAGGACGATTGGGAGGCGTCTGAAGATTCTGATAGCGAGAAAAAGCAAGAGGCAACAAAACCCAAAGGGCCCGTTCGCAATAAAGGAATCACTAAAATGAAAATCGCTGAAAAGGAAGCTGAAGAAGCTGCTCGACTTGCTGAGCTCCAAGCAAAGGCTGAGGAAGAAGCGGATCCAATCTTGAGGAAAAGACGTGAACAACAGAGAACGGTCGAGGCTGACATGGAGAATGCCAGAGGACTTTTTGGCGATGCTGTTATATCGTGTTCGTCAGATCAAAAAAAAACTTTTCTATCGTCCCAATCGATATCTTCGACCTTGAAGCATTCAGCTAATCATATACGTTCTTTGCCGGTATCTTGCAATTACCAGCTAATAATGAAGACCCGATGAAGATGAACCCTAAAACCAAGGAGGATTTTGAGGCCATGTCTACAGCTTTATCCAAGTTGATAATATCTAAACATGGCTCAAAAGCCCTGTATCCTACGTAAGCCCTTCCCCCGAAGTTTATCCAGAAAGGCAATTAAGCTTCTTGTTTGATCGTATACATATCTCCATTGCTTTAGTTTCTTGGAACACTTCATACGTCAATTAGCCGCACCCATCAGCGATGTCCACGCCAGAAAGGCTGCTTCCGCACTCACCACAATAGCCAATGAGAAACAGCGGATAGCTCGTGATGCCAAGAAAGGGGGAAAAGGAGGTAAAGTTAAACCAACCTTGGGTGGTGTGGTAGGAACAAGTGCGAGCGCAGGAGTCAAAGGTGGAAGGGGCGCCATGGCTGACTTAGAAGTATATGATCAAGCGCTCGATGACGACTATGATGATGATTTCGTGAGTTCACTCATAAATCCTTTTACTCCTTGTTTACGGTTTAGGCTGAGTTCTAATGTATGTTCGCTCTCAGATGTGAGAATGTTGTTATCAGTAAAATATACAATAGATGGTCCAACAGTCTTGTGCAAATGTACACGGAAGGTCTTCTTGTTGAACAAAATGGCCGACGCCGGATCTGTACCGATACCATCCCATCTCACCCATTTCCCGTTATCCTGCTCCTGTAATGCCACCCAAATCTTCATATTACGTATCATTGGTTGCGTTATTACTACGACAGTTTTCCTATATCATTCACCATACCAAAAGCCCTTCAAAGAGCTGTGCCAGAGCAACACTGAGAAGTTCAGGAAGATCTTATATCACTGAGTCATGTAAGTTTGAATGGTTGGCCTTGTGAAAGCTAGAATTTCGCTTGGAGAGCAAGACAATATGCACTTCATCAGAAAATGGGTACATTGGCCTGCTGGTCATCAAAACAACTTTAGCGTTCAGAGATTGAGACATGTTGTCAAGTTCTATCAGTCCCATGTGACACTGTTTGATTGCCCTTGAGGGTCATACTTGCCTGATCAGGTAGCTTGGGATAGAAACATTAGTTGTACAAAATTCCAACCAAGGTCAGCAAAAGTGGATACTTGAGACTACAGTGTGGCCGACAGATCAGGAAGGTGAAGACACAAGGACTATGCAGGAAGGTGCTCCTCGTTTGAGCGGGCTGGTGCAGCTCAAGAGGGACTTGGTTAAGTTTGGGTCTTGCTGGATGTAAAGCTCTTTGTATTCAGTTCTTATTTGTCAATGCCATGTATCACATTTAGCGAAAATGGCATAATTCAATTGTGGGATTTGTGATACAGAGTGAAGGAGAATGATTTGGCGCTTTGTAAACTTGAAGACCACCAGTCCAAGGCGACATGATATTACTGTATGTAGGCTTCTCGGAGAGCAAGTCTTGATCCACAAAAACTTGCGCTCTAAGCCAGGAGACTGACAAACTTGATGGTAATACTTAAGACTAAATTTTCAGAAGACCTAAACAAGTTTATAGTATATACATGTGTGGAGAACCAACCATTCAAAATGATGAGGTTGATGAGGTCACAGTCGATTTATAAGAAAGCAAGAGAAAGAATTGAAGCCTGCCCCTCCTAACCACTCCGACTTGCGTTCCGTTCCCGAGTTTTGAACGACCTATACTTCCGAGCACCGACGTATAACAATCCGATAGAACCAATTGAAAGACCATGTTGGGCTAAATCCTGACGTGGCAAATCCACCTCGTTTACCCTTCGATAATCTGTAACATTAGCTTTCTGTAAGACCTCTCGAATCTGATTTGCTCGTTCGGCGGAAATACGACAGAATTCAATCATGGATTCAATCCCATTCGGGTCCTCTGGATCATCATCATAGGGAGGTGGAGGTGGAGGTGTTGAGATGCGGGGTGGATCTTGATGTTGATTCAATGCTTGTCGTGTTGAACGTGCCAGCTCGACCCCGAGCACCACTGCTGCCGTGAATTCTGTGATCATTGCAGGAGTGATCGCTGGTTGAGGGATCGGAGGAGGGATGACGCGGGCGGCATTACGGGGACCCTTCATACGATCGTATCTGATAGTGGCCGGTGGGTGATCAACGTCTATGCCATCATCATTCTAAAGAGACGTCAAGATCAGCTACAATTCTACTGTGTATTGCGAGAAGCTTACTCGATGATTGGCCCACTCCTCTGCTTTTGCAAAAGTCAGTGCAAAATAGCGATCCGAATTTGTTGGGTCAATAACAGGAGGATAGGTGGGATTGTATTCGAGATTCATATGATATTTTTCATAAAGCTTTCTGATGAATCTGTCATCAGGAGTTTCATCTGATTCTACAAAAGAATCTGAAGAATCTGAATCGTCAGAGTCCAACTTGAGTTGGTCCAGAAATTGTCAGTATCTCTGATAAGAAAAACTGAAAAGAATGTTAATGGAAAAGAAATGATGTTGAATCACCTCGTCAGTCTCTGAGCTTTGACTGGAAGCCCCATCTTGTCTATCTTGAACTGCCGATGCTTCAGAAGAATCTGAGTCCTCGTATTCAGACTCAGAGTCAGACTGAGTTGGTTCAGAAATCGTCAGTATATCTAACAAAGAAAACTGAGATAAATTTCATGAAAAAGACATGCTATTGAATTACCTCGTCAATATCTTCTGAACTTTGTCTGGAGTTTCGACGTTGCCTCTTTCGCTGTGTCGAGACTACAGAAGACTCATTATCAGATTCAGACTGAGTCAATTAAGAGATTGTCAGCATAACTATGAAGGAAAACTAAAAAATGCCGAAAAAAATGGTATCGACTTACCTCATCAGTATCTTCTGGATGTTCTCCGGATTCTCGACGTTGCCTCTTTCGCTCTTCCGAAGCTATCAAAGCCTCAATCCGTGCTATCTAAAAATATTTATGTTGATTTAGAAGATCCATAGACTGTGGTAGATTGAGAGAACGCACCCGGTGGACTTTAGCCTTTTGTTGTTGAGGGCTTAATTCGACATAAGATATTCCAACCTCTCGATGGTGATGAAGAGCACACGCCTCTTTAACCCAAGTTTGAATATTTTCTTCTTTTAATTCGACCCGACTCTTTATAGTTTTAGGAAACTTTGAACTCGATCTAATATAAGCAGTCCATCTTCCAGATCTCTCATTTTGATGAATTGAATTTTTGAGTAGGGTTTCGTGGTAAGTTTTTTTAGTTTGATATTTTGTTGCATTGATACAATTTAACTTGATCTCGTTAAGATCAAAGTTGTTTCCATTCCAAATAACGTTACATCCAGAGCAACTGGTTCTCGTGAGCCTTGATTTCACCTTCTTGTCTGGTACGTAGAATTCACAGTCAAAGGTGAATGGAAACTCGACATTTGCTTCGTCTTTGTTTTCAGGTTGCCCTTGAAGAGTGGTGGAGGCAAGACCTGGGCGAGGCTGTTACAGGAAAATATCAATAGTCAGACATAAGGACTTGGGGTGTCCCTAAATCTAAGAGATCTGGAAGAAAACTTACAGCTGAGACTGATAGCGACTGACTAGGTTGATGGACCAACAGAGGGTCCCAATGTGGGTTTGCAGACATTTTTGAAGTTTTGAGTGAAAATGCAGAAAGTTGAAATGCAATTTGAAATTCATCGATCAACTTCAAGAATGTATATGTAAATGGACACATGTAATCAGATCGGACCATGGCCATAGAAGTACCGAAGACTACCCGATCAGAGCTGGGCTTCTGGACGCGCCCGCTCATCGTCGCGTATCATTATTCAATCTGAAGTAACTTCACCTTTTATACTTTATTCCAATATGACTGCCGCCATTGCCGACTTTGAAAATATCTTTCGAGGGTTAGGTCCCACTCCTGGAAGTCAGTTCGATTTCTATTATACTTCATTTTATTACTTCAGACTGATTCAAGTTGACTTTTTGATAGAGTTACGAATTGCTGCGAGTGGATTGGGTTGGAAACCTGTTGATGCAAATCCAGTGGTGACAGTACCCAAAGATGAAATTAAATGGGTTCAATGGATCAAGTTAGTCTTACGATTGAAAATCGGATCTGAATCGTTTTCTCACACAATCATGTTTCCTTGTTTTTTCAGAGTCGCAAGAGGTTATCAGCTTAGGATTGGATTGAACCGAGATCGTTCAGATATCAAGATTGGAGATCGTCGAAGGACAACTTTTGATGGATTCCGAGCTGATGTATGAAGAATCTTTCTTTCACCAAGAATATGAGAATTAGGTTTTGAAACTTTCGATTTCAAACTACAGGATCATGATAAACTTGCCAACTTATTTAAACAACATTTTCATGTGACATTGGAAACCAAGGATATGAGTTTACGAGGATGGAATTGGGGAAAAGCTGATGTTCAAGGTGATCTGACCATTTTTTTTGCTCAAAGGACATTACTAACGTCATTATTTTGTAGCTTCCGATTTAGCTTTCATGGTAGCAGGAAAGCCAGCCTTTGAAGTACCTTTGGCATTTGTACATAATGCATCAATCACCAAAACAGAAGTAGCGCTCGAATTTTTAGATCAAGCAGTTTTACAACCCAAAGCCGATGGACTTTCAGGATCAATCAAGAATGCAAGAAAGACAGTCACCGATCAATTGGTAGAATTAAGATTATATGTACCAGGAAATGCATCTTCAAATAATGCAGCTGAGAATGGAACTAATGCTGGGAGTGATATAGATGATACGGGTGATGGTGATGGTGATGGGATGAGTGCTGCTCAAGCTCTTCATGATATGGTCATGGACAAAGCTGAAATTGGTCGGGTTCAAGGAGAAGGAATCGTCACTTTCCCTGACGTGCTTTGTACAACACCTCGTGGAAGATACGATATTGATATGTACTCCGATTTCCTTCGCTTACGTGGTAAAACTTATGATTATAAAGTATTATATTCGAGTATTCTACGTCTTTTTCTCTTGCCTAAGCCAGATGACATTCATTTCAACTTTGTGGTAAGAAAACTATCTACATTCAAATTATCTCGAATTATGAGATCGTGGTTTGATGAAATTGTGGCGTTCTTTAATATAGGTACAACTCGATCCACCGATACGACAAGGTCAAACTCGGTATCCGTTTTTAGTAATGCAATTTGCAAAGGATGAGGAGATGGATGCTGAATTGAATCTTGACGAGTTTGTCAATTTGATTTTCTAAGCTATACGGTTGTCTGATTCCTGGCTTTCTCTATTTAACCACAGTGAGACCCTAACATCTACATTTCAACAAGAACATAATAAGGTGGAAGGACAAGCCCATGAAGTTGTATCCATCATTTTCAAAGGACTAGCGAGGAAAAAAATCATATTCCCACAGAATTTCACAAGGTCCGTTGACTAAGCTTGATGATATGCTAAATGCGGTTTCTAATCAAGTCTGATTTCCTGTTGTAGCGTTACCGGACAAACAGCCGTTAAATGTAGTATGAAGACTAACGAGGGTCTAATATATTTCCTCGACAAATATATCCTCTTCATTTCAAAACAACCTTTACTTGTTGCACTCTCTGATCTCCATTCAGTTAAATTCGCAAGGGTAGGTGGAGCTTTACAATCTGGTAGAACATTTGATCTTGTTCTAAAGAAGAAGGATGAAGTGGATCTTCAATTTTCAAGTTTAAGTAAAGAAGAACATACAGTGATTGATGAATATTTTAAAGGAAAAGGGAAGAAAGTATTGAATGAGATGAATGAAGATGCGATGACTGCAGCTGCTGTAGCTCTTTCGGATGATGAAGATGAACCGATGGATGAGGATAGTGCGGATGATAGTCGGAAAGGTGAAAAGAAAGCTGCTCGTGGTGGTGATGATGAAGATGATGAATCAGGTCAGCTTTGAGAAACCAAGATATTTCAACCTGATCGGAAGAGTTGATGTGATTTTTTTACAGATGACGAAAGTTTCAAGGGGGATTCCGAGGATTCAGATGTGGCTGAGGAGTTTGATTCGAACTATGGAGGTCCGTATTAGTCTTATGCAGTCTACTTAACTTCAATCAACCTCCTGATCTATTGAAATCCTTTTACATAGGCTCAGACTCGGACTCAGATCAAGACGAAGCACCCGAGAAGAAGACACGGGCTGATAGGTATGTCGCATCTTTCTTGATAAAGATCTTATCTTGTTTACTCCCCTCTAACGAACAAAGCGTATGTAACTTTACTCATTCATACTGTTTTGTGAGTCTAGTGAGGAACGACCTGCTAAGAAGCAGAAGAAATAGAATTATGATATACTTTATACTTTGCACTAGATTGTACTCCTTAACAGCTTGCTTCTACAATACTACCAAATCATTTTGGTTTGCGCCTTTGAATATACACTTACGAAACATTTCAATGCCGCAGTTTTACAATGTACCCAGTCAGAGATGAGCTGATCGGTCCACCGTGAGTCACATTCTTATGACCTGATGTGACATTTTGGCATCTTTGATGTCGAATTGTGGGCGGTCTTTTTGGCATTTTCGGGCTCGGTGTCGCAGAGGCAAGAATAAGTGCATCATCATTTAGAGGAGCATTTACTACGACTCCTGCTTTCAGTGATAGGTCCCTAACCCCGATAAAATCACATAGGTCCTGTCGACTTCTACATTGACCTCACCGAATCTAGCTATGTACGTCAATTGATTGGAAGAAACATAATTTTTTAAATGGCACAATTCGCTCAAGTTTCCTTTATCCATGTCCAGATTTCCTTCAGGCCATGTGGGTCACTGGGTGTACTCACGATCCACTGAATCTGATGACCAGAAAGTTTCTCATACCGCTCGAATCCGTTAAGGCTTTTATCTACCCCAATCATTTGATCTTCTTCGTCATCAAGTAGTCTCATCAATTCCCCTTCTTCATCTGGTAACGTATAAAATTCTGAGCTTCCATCTCGAGATAAACCTTTAATACTTTCTGGTTTGAACAAACGAGTAAAAGCGCTCCAGAATGTTTGTTGTTGAGTAGCTGGGATAGCTTCTATGGCTTCAAGTCGGGCTGAAGCTGATGACATGTAAAACGAAGAAGATGCCCCCGTGGTGGTGGTGGAGCCTATCCTACGTCGGTTGAGCTCTTTGTTTAATGCCGCATTGATTTTCGGAATCGTCTTCTCAGTGCGATCAGGCTGTAAGCTTATCTTTGAACTTGGAGCAGATGAGTTAAGATAGATTGCGAGTTGCGGTAGTTGAATGTTTGATCGCTGGTAAGATAATAGTAAAAGATATGAAAGCACGAGATTAAGAGAACTAGTATCAAGTTGAGATTACAAAAATTAATTCAGTCAGTTCTCAATCACACTAAACCTGACTTCAATTGTGTATCACTAACTCGCCGGTATCCCGAAGACCTTTTCCGCTAAGTCCAACTTGAGTATCGATAACAAAGATAACTCGATTCGAATTAATCAAATGAGAAGCCAAAGCTTCAGCACGTAATCGAGGATGAGCAGGAGTATCGATACAAGTTAAAACTTTGGTATTCGTAACATCTGATCGTTTCTCCACATTTGTTGAATCACATTTAGTTTGATTCGAATTCATCATTGATGGTTCCCTTATTAAAGCCGAATTGATAACCATACTTGACATTGTTTCTATCGTATCTGAACCATAAACTAATCTTGACCAAAGTTTTGTTTTTCCACTTGACATTGGACCAGTTAAAACTATTACTTGATCTTCTGATTTACCCCCTCGATTGGTTCGGTTTGGGAATAATAGAAATCTCAAACATATTAAACTGAAGAGAAGGATTCCTATTATTATTGAAGGTAGTGAGTAGGGTGATAAGGCGCGAGAAGAGATAAGGTCTGATTGAAACATTGTGTGAAGTGGTAATCAGCAGGAAGTCTTGAGCTGATCGAGCACTCACCCCTACACTATGACTTAGACTTAAGCTTAATTGACTAGGGGGGTACATAATTACCTAGGGGGCACATAGCTCATCTCACAGATTTTCATTGAAGGTTGACTCAGAGTCAATGTGCAAGTTGATTGATATCTTCTATGGGACTCTCAAAAACTTTCATCGCAGTCTAACCGAGATAATTTTCTTGGTCTCGCAGCCTAGGCTTCAATTCAAAGCTCTTCTCCTCCAGTCCTAACCGGGTATATTTTCAGCTACTTCTGGGTAAACAATTTATCGGCAGTTATAATGAACCCTTGCTTGATTTTCTTGGAGAGTTATTTCCATTACGAATTTGCTAAAGAGTTGAATATTATGAGAAGATGGGAAATTCAAAGTGACGTTTACTCCAGGCTATCATTGTCACAGGGCCCAATTCTAGGAAAAATATGATAAACTGGTCTCATATCTTGCTGTAACCTATGCCTCTTATTAAGATGTCAGGAGACATAGTTTCTGAGAGAAAGGGACATTTATCTTCATAAAGTTTTGTATTCAAGGCACCTATCCTTTTTTTGAATTGATGTACTGTGTGAGCCAGAAGTGTTTACAACGATCACGTCTACACAGTTGACGCAGATCGTATGAATATAGGATTCAGATCAAAGCAAGTAAGCTGTCTATAGATTAGCAGCTACTGGATACCATTGGATTGGCTCGTACCTGGAAGGATACAGACTCCTCAAGATCTGATTAAAACTCCAAGGACAAAGAAAGAAAAACAAAGATACCGAAATTTGGGTAGACTCAATCCTTCACTGCACTTGGAAAGTAAAATCCAGTCGAAAAGTACAATGTCATGCATTGCTAGTTTTTATGGCCCTTCATGGATTTTTTCAAAAATAAATTTTATTCAAATCTTATCATCATACATATACTGTATTGTTATCAGTGCAATTGAATCAGTAAATTTATTTGCTCCAAGAAGGTTAAAAGAAAAAGCTGACTTACAAAAATTCCTTCACGCTACTTGCTAGTCTTGTTAATGGTTAAAAGTTCATGTTTAAGTCTTGACCAGATTACAAAAAAAACCTTCTTCAATTTTCCACCTCACGTTTTTTAAAATATCTTTGTTACAATTCAATTTTTTCATATTTTTTTTCAACTTTTTCTCGGAACTATAAAACAAATGGAAAGCATTTTTTTCCCGAATTTTTCATTCTCTCTCTCTTAACAATCTTTCCTTCTTCCTGAGATGAAAGTTTTTACCTAGTTAAATCAAAGTTCGCGAAAACAAAATCTTAGGATTAGTTATCAATAAGTGTAAAAAAGAAATAAATATGAAACCACCCCCTATTCCTACATTTATTCGGTCCATTTGAGGTCCACAGAAATACTTTTAAAATCCTTTTTTCCTAAGTTTTACAACTCAAGTGCCTTTGGCATCTTAGGTTTCCCACCACTAGGCTCGCTCATTCTTCTAGTAGAATTCCCATTAGATTGTTGAAAGTTAACCTCTTCTTCTTCGTCATCTGCCCAACAATCATCAGGTTCATTCTCTAGAGAGTTACCCAGCAAAGATCTAGCTCTTCTCATTCCTTTCTTCTTTGTCATCATAGGCATAGTAATAGGCATAGACGTGAGTGCAAGAGTAGGACAATAAAAGTCTAATGAAGAGACAGGTGAAGAGGCTCTAGTTGAAGTAGCGGATGTAGCAGGACCGTCCCAAAATCGAAGCGCGCTTTGTGCTGGCGAACTGGTTGCTGAGCAAACTTCATCTTGTAATCCATTTTCTTGATCAAAGTAATTCTCTGAATAAATTGGATCGGATTGTGGTTGACTGAGACTTATTTGAAGAGGTGAATAATGATCGTGAGATGGTGCAAGGAGACCTTGGGAAACCATCTCGGTACTGACAAAGACGTCTGCTCGAGTGAAGAAGAGCGCACATGGGGCACATTCTTTGGCGCGTGGTGTAGGTTGGCCACAGAAGCTTTGATCTGATGGTTCAACTGGAGAGCTCGTCTTATCGGCCAGTGGCGTGAAACCAAGAAGACGGCATCGGTTGGGTGCTTGGACAGGTGGATCAGGTTTAGAAACAGGTGTGAAAGATAAATTGAAAGGAAGTCGCCGAGCTTGTGGTCGACAAAGTGAGGTGCGACGAATCAGTGGCGAGACGGATTCGTTGGGTGGCGGTGTAGGACTTGAAGAGTGTGTGGGACGAGAGCCGGGGAGCAAAAGTAAAAAGCTTTTAGAATCAGAATACGATTTATTGGTGTCTATTGCGTCAAAACTAAGCGATGAAGCAGAATCTTGGAAGAAGTCTGAGGTAGGCATGATCGAGTATGTAAATGACGTGAAAGACTGAGGAATGGGCAAAATGAAAGCAAAGCTTTGATTGGATTTCAAAGTGATAAGACAAAAATTTTCAAGAGCTTGAATGAGTTGATATAGGGACTCGTAAATGTAAAGAAAAGGTGAGCTTTTTCAACGCAGCAAGATTCAGGAGGTAGGGTGATTAAATGAATGAGGATCTAATCTAATCGATATCCAATAAAATCTATGGATGTACTCGAAGGTGATCTGAGAGTGAGTGATGATGAGATGGGGTTAATGCGAGTTGAGAGGGGGGAAAGCAAGTGATATAAAGGACATATTCATCCTCAACATAACTTTTCTCCTTATGACACACTACAGTTCACCTCACACGTCCTTTACCCTGGGGCCCACGGACGGGAACTACACACTCACAGTTTTGAATAGGTTAAATTGAAGAGTCTCTTGGAAATCCACGTAAAATAAGTGAAAAAAGTTTACAATTGTAAAACTGTGTCACCAATTTATCTTTTTTTACCTATAATCTTTGATTGATCTTGCACAAGTTGAGACCAGTTTCGTAGTGGATATCAAGATAGCGGAGAAAAAGGGGTGTGAGTTAAAAATACAAGATATCGATCAGAACAACATCTTATGTCTAAAGCTTCATGCACCGGACACGGCAATCCGGCTCACGCATCACATTCAACAAGCCGGAAATCCGCCGTAGACTTATGACTTGTGTTTCCGGAGCAAACCTCTGCATGCATCCTATAGAATCAGTCGGCTTCAAACTCGCACAGCAAACACTTATATGATCTTGTTGAACTTCATTCTTGCAGTATACTTGGTTGTGTACGATAAACTTCAGGAAAGCGAGCTGAGGTACATGACCAGGGTTTCAACGTAATTCAAACTCGGCCTTCGATTGAGAAAGGTTCCCACTTCGCTTGCCAAACATCCTCGACTTTGCGCTTCCCAGTGCATGCATCAACTCACCCTCCAACTTATGGGATCTACATGAAGCTGCGCTTTGCTTCTGGCTTCTTCTCTCGACTTGCGCATGCCCCAGATAAATAATCTCTGCACCTGCTTCAATGAGCAGCACATACATACATAGTAAAATCAAAAGGCCTGATATGGGGCGAAAAAGGGGCAAAGGCGCCGAAAGGAGTCCTTGAGAGGAGCTGTTCGGACCCGTTGACAAGTTTTTCCAAAGTGTGAGTTTCTTAACTGCCTATGTAAGCATAGTAATTGTAGGGAGACGAGCACACCGGGGAGGTCACTGCCATCTAGTCAGAACAAAAGATTGGAGTGAATGAAGTGACTGGTAATTGGCTTGAGGTTGCGCAAATTCAATGAGATTTTGGATTTTTTGAATTGTAAATTATGTATCACATTGAATGCTACAGGTGCCCAAAGGAACAATGGCACATGACCCAGGGATGCTCCTATGGAGCCTGAGGGTTGTCATGAATGATGTTGAAATTTGGGCCCGTATTTTACCTATGTTAGTATCAAAAATGGTTGAAGGTTGAAATTTTAGTCAAAAGGGTGGTAATGTAAATGGTTGGAATTTAGGCCCATCATCAGGCAGACATTTGACTTTTGTGACTGAAAGGCCAGTTTGTTGACCAGCAATTTTGGTTTGGGTTCAGGTCAACACCAGTTCAGGTGGAATGACTTTACCCAAAGATGCCTGTGATATTTTGAGGTACAAAGCTCAATCCCAGCAATACAGAGAAAGATTCAAAATTGGACTTTTGGAGAATCATGAAGCAACACATTTTGGATGATGATGATAAATCAAGGCCAATTGGTATGGCCCTACAGGTGTTACAAAATGCAAATGGTGGAAAGAGCAAGTATGTAGGAATTGAAAGTGTCTCGTGCCTTCAGGATACCCCTACTTTGGATTTGTACCTAATACACATTGAGCCCATAGAGAATTGAGGCCAAGCCACACATAATAACTTGAGGTAAATCCAAGGAGAATATGCTAAATCTGATCCAAGGAGAATCCTTGTTTTTTGATATTGAAGACAGCCAAGGTAGAGCACCCTGATTGTTCCAATATAAGTGTTCCAATCTTTCCAATCTACCAAAATTTCCATCTGTGGATGGCCCCATCTGATGTCAGTCAATATTTCTGCATCCACAAAATCAAATCCTGGAGAAGACTTGATGTATGTATTCCCAACAACTCAGTTTGTGAGCGTGGCACAAAAGACACCCCTTGAACATACCTAATGATATGTGTGTTGCAGCACAAAATGAATGCCAAAAAGGGGGTTGGTGCACCTTGTGAGGTATTGCTCCAAAACCAAGAGATCCATTACCAATACCATGTTTGAGTTGTTGAAAACAGTTTGAAATACCACTCTAAAGGTTTATTGGAAACTTATGCCCTGGGAGAATCTGATATTGTGGATTTTCTTGCAGAAAACCCACATTTGAATACCTTTTTTGCCCATGAGTTTGATTTTTTTGATGGTGTAGTTGTTTGATTTTGATATCTACTTCAGATACCATTTTTGTTATGTGATAGATGCACTGCTAATCCAAGGATCACAATTGAGATAAATCATGTCTACAAAAATGTCTTTGTTCACACACCCAGTGGCCCCTAGGTGCAAAGAAAAGCAAAAAAAAACACCTTGACACAAGCCCACAACCTGGCCCAACACAACATGCTTTGCGCTTCTGGAGCTCACTTGCAATCACATTATCATCAGCCTTGCAGACTGCAGTGGTAGGCATGGAAAGGCTTTTACATTGTTGGCAATAATGAAGAATTTGAAAATTAAGCTGCAAAGAATGATGAACCTGTACAAAAGCACATTCCAAGAGGAGATGTTATCCTTATCTCACCTGGAGGTTGATTATCCCCCTTCTTTGGCTTTGTCAATGGATTTATCATTAAGATTACAACTTGAGCTAGATTTCCAATCATTTCTAACATTGTCTTTACCCAACAATGCTAGGTGTTTTCAATTTATCTCAAATTCTCCCAACATACACAACCTTCTATGGTACCAGGAAAGAGGAAATTTGTCCTGGTATTAGACATAACTGTATCCTAACCAACAAAGCTACAAGATACAGCCATTTTCAGAGATTTGATGCTGTTTTTCTAAAACAATGATAAAACAAAGAACACTCTATTTGACTCTATCTTGATTAACAAAATTAGATTCTGTTTCAAAAAGATGGCTTTTATTACAGATACCAATTGGCAAATTGCATACCTTTTCTTTCATATGTTGAGCATGTCACATTGTTGAAGCCTCTGTAAGCACCCCTGGGTGCAACCTGTTTCTTGAATTTGGGGTTGCATCCTATGTACTCCATTGTATAAAAGGTAATGTTCCACCTATTGTGCAGCAATATCTTGGCCAAGAAGCCAAAATTAAGGCACCAATGGTGTACATAAAACCCCAAAGAACAGGGTGAAAAGCATTCAAACAGATATTTCCACTACAACTAAACACAATGAAGTGGCCCATTTGTCCAAATTTTGGCTAATCCATGATATCCACAATGGCACATAATTCAATTTCAATCCTTCTGTATCTATTAAGTATTCAGGTAAGTTTGATGTTGATTGTCAATTCAGTTTCACATGATGTTATTGAATATTTATTTGGGGATTGTTGATCTCTATCAACTTGAATGTATTGTTTTGCTTTGTTCCTCTTGTGCCTCTCGTGCCCCCAGCCAAAAAGAGGTGCCCAGCGCGCCCAACCCCTCTCATGCGCAACCAGGCGTGTCTTTTTGAAAATAACGCGCCCACCACATGACTTTTCTCCCATATGTACAGCACTACAAATTGATACCCTGAAAACTCCTTGACAGAGTGTCCATTCTTTACATGAATGAGTACCACAATATTTGAGGCCTATGAATGTTTTTTAGATAATTTAGGAAGGCTCTCTAGATTTCTAAAGGAGTTTTTGATTTAATTTCAAAATTACTTGTTAAGAAGTTGGGATGAAAAACAAAAGTTGATGGTTTTTCAAAATAAAAAAGCAATGAAATAAATAAATGTGTAAGTAAAATCACAGTAAAATCCATGGAATATTTAATCTGATTACACAACCTCAAGGAGATCATAAATACCACTCACAGGGCCAATGATGTGTCAATTATATTTTAAAAAATTCAACAGTTTTCACCCTATGTTTCTTCACCCCACAACACTACAGGTTTGTGATCTTGGTGATCTACCCCACATTCTCCCAACAGACCCAAACTTCAACATGTATCAAGCCTCTGATGGTATAATTGTTTTATTTGGTCAAGGCAACTTGGATTTGTTTCATTCAAGTCATTCTGCACCTGTCATTTCTCTATTGATACTTCATCCAACAAATGTCATTGTTTTCAACAATGTTCTTCTGTCTCTTCTTCAAGATAATCAATCAGATTCTGTTGGATAGATTCCTGCTGCACTACAAGGGGTAATCAAGAGGTGGCTTTTGTGTTTCAGCTTCACATGCAAAGTATGATTCAGATGAAACCTTCATTGCTTTAGATGGAATTGTTGCAATGCGATGCTTAGGATTACATATCACAAGACAATCACATCCAGATCAGTCCAAAAGTTGAGGTAATTGAAATGAATTGGTGCTAGGTTGAGAAATTATGTGTTTAAAATTTAACAGGATAATGCCTTCTCATCTGTATTATTTGGTGGTTGAGTTCAGTGCCTTATTCTTTGCTTACTTTTTGGCAGTGCACTCAATTAATTAATCTTTATAGATCCATTGAACCATTATAAACACCTCATTTCTGACTTAGCAGTCAGCTTGTGTCACACCATTCTCTCTGTCTCTCTCTATCTTCCTTCCCTTGCTAAGGAGCTTGAAATCAGTTTGAAATGATTCTTTCATTAAGTAACCCTCTTTCACTAGAATAGATGTAAAAGTAGAAGTAAGCCTCAACTTGTAGAGTTGATTTGGTTGCCTGTTTTCCATAAGATGCATGAGTATTACATTTCTTGGTTCAGTAATCATTTCAATTCTGTCTAAGATGAACAAATAACAATGAGATGTGAGGATGAAGTATTATAAATCAAACTGGCAATTTCATTGACAAAGTGTCAATCGGTAGCACTGTGGATGAAAAACTGTTGTAATCCCAGTGGACTGTGGCGTCTGGTCGCCTAAGCTCTTTCTGCAACGTAGAAAAAAGGGCAGCATATCAGGAAGTAGATGTACTGTTGTCAAGGATGAGACCTCAATCCCTGAGGTTTCGGCGTAAATAAGTTAACCCTGCTACATACGGCCTTGTCTCGGACTTCCCTCGCATAGTGCAGATTTTGTACATATGTCTTGGCAAATCCACCATCAATTTTCTTCCAATTGCAAACTTTTTTAATCTCGTTTTTGTTCGCATATACCATCACCATCATGTTATCCTTCCAATCTCCTCACAGGCTTTTTGCTGTATTCATTGCTATATGGATCACACAATTTGCTGTCACACTCTCACAAACGGCCACGGTTAAATGTATGCACGACTTTGGTATTCTAACCCCTGCATATTTTGCATGTCAGTATTCAAAACTTTTCAACCTTTTCATTTAAAGCGCGTCATCTGATTCCTCCTTTTCTGTCTCAAAGTTTGCCGCGATAGCGGTGACACTCAATGGGTTTGCCCAACAGCCAGTTGCCAAAAAGATGGTGAATTGTTATCTTCCTATCTTTTCATTAATCTTTCAGAGCTGGTCTAAGCTAACGTCTCTCTCAATTCGTTCTATATCAACATTCTATCTATAGGTAAAAGATGGGTACCAATGAAGAATTGCGCCCTCGACCACAGTGTTGGCACGAGTGATCAACAATGTGCACGTTACAACTACCTTTACCCCGGTTGTTATCGTTAGTTATGGTTTTCTCTCCTTTCCATTGATAAGGTCCAATTAATAAATTACATCCTTTTAAAATACCTTCTTTTTTCAACTTCATAAAGAATGTACAAACCCGGGTGGTCAGAAGTACACTTGCTCTGACAAACCCCAGAATGTTCCCTACATTAGTAAGTCATATTACTTTTTCATTGTTTGTTAAAAAAAACTAATCCACTGTCATGTTTACTTCTTCGGTAATCACCCTCAATAGCCTGTACAGAGTGCACAAAATCGAATACCAACCGGGCCTGATATACATTTGGTTTCTAGAGGATAGTCATAATCATCGCCGATATTCTGAATTTGTAGATACGTCGTTGAGTTGTTCTGTTGAAAGCTAAAGAAAAGTGAAATAAAAGATGAGATCTTCAAAGAAGCTACCTTATTTCATGTCCATGAAATGGAAATTGTCTAAGAGGAGAAAATAGTCACTATTCCTTATAACCCTGGTGCCTTTCCTTCCATCGGAGCCATCTTTTGTATGTATGGAAAATGCTGAACCAAAATTTGAGACTTTGAAGATCACAATCCCATCTTTCCCTCCGAACAGTCTCTGGCGCCCTGAATCCTAGGTGAATGTGCGGGTGATGAATGTATCTAAAGAAATATTTGATTTCTGTCAAATATTCCTCAAAGCAGTTTGCAGGTCTTGTCCCCAGCAGTAATTCGGGGTGAGCATACATTTGATGCATGTCATCACCAGGTGAGTCTGAATGGTATGGGAAGATAGAAACACCTGCACTGGTAATACAAATGCTCCCCGCCTGTGATGTACTGCCAGGGTACTTTGTAATCTAAACTCGATCATCTATTCTACGTCGCGCGAAGGGCCTTGAGGCAACATCCTAGAGCAAGCCTATGCCTACGAAAAATGACCCCGGGCATACAGCAGGAGCATGCTGATACCTACTGATACTCCTCGGCGGTTGGCCAGTGTTGCGGTTAGATGATACTGGTCAGTGTTGTAGCCTACACTGCCGAGTCAATTTGTTTCAATTGTGTGAAATAGATATATGAGATCACTTTCCAAGTCTGACAAAAGGGAAGAAAAATTATTCTACTCGTGACATGGGATGGTAATTACGAGAACAAGGGGCCATTGGGAGAACCAGTGTTGCCAAGGACAAGCCCTATGACTCTGAGACTGCAACAAATCCCTGAGGTTTCGGTGCAAATGAGTGAACCCTGCTCTATGGCCTTGGCTCGGAACCTCCCCACACTCTAGTATACATTTCGTATATCAATTCTCGCAAATCAAATTGTCTTCCCATCACAAATCAGCATAATCTCGTTTTTATTCGCATACTGCTACATCATCATTATCATCATGTTATCCTTCCAATCTCCCCATCGGCTTTGTATTATATTCATTTCCATATGGATCACACAAGTTGCTTTTACACTCTCACAAACAGCTACCGTTAAATGTACATACGCATTTGGTATTTTATCGCCTGCATATTTTGCAGGTCAGTAAAATTTTCAACCTTTTCCTTCAAAAACCATCATCTGATCTCTCATCTCTCATCTTCTGTCTCAAAGCTTGCCGCGATGATGATGCAAACGCATGGGTTTGCCCAACAGCCAGTTGCCAAAGAGATGGTAATTTGTTATATTTCTATCTCCTTGCTCATCTTTCAAAGATGGGTTACCCTAACCTTTTTCTCCACTCGTTCTACATCAACGTGTATCTATAGGTTCTAGATGGGTACCAATGAAGAACTGTACAATCAAGAAGAATGGTGATGGCACGAGTGATCAACAATGTACTCGGTACGTCAATCACTTGAACGGCAATTATGGTCAGTTATCCTTTTCTCTTTCAATCCGAGTCGTGGGATTTGCTTGATGAATTACATCCTTATCAATTCCCTTATTTTTTCAACTTCATTCATATAGTATGTACCAACTCGGGTGGTCACACGTACCTTTGCCCTTATAAACCAGAGAATGTTCCCTACATTAGTAAGTCTTATTTCTTTTTCATCGTTTGTCAAAACAATATATTAATTTTCTAACATGTGAACTTTTTCGGTGATCACCCTCAATAGCTTGTACAGAGTGCACAAAATCAAAGCCACCACCGGTCTGATATGGTATTGATGGAGAATGGTCAGAGTCATTGCTGTGATTTTGAATTTGTACATACGCCTTTGTGTTTCAGTGGTTGGATTTGATTTATGATGGCTGAAATTGAATCCTTGGTATCACATTTCAATTTGAATGGTTGGGATCACCTAGCAGCAGTGCCTATTGATCAGAGCAGAATATGTTTGCCATACACCGTGGTTTTTTACACCCAAGGCTCGCATTGGAGCCATCTTTTGTATTCAAAGAAAGATTTGGACCAAAATCTCATCCTTGGAAGATCACATACCTGATCAAGTTCTTTTCTGCAAAGCTTTTAGAATTTTCGATCCAAGGTTGCTGGTGATGAAGACATTTGGAAACAAATTTGGATCATTTCAAATACAATATATGCAAGCATCAACTCGGCTTAGCCTTAGAGTTGTCTGTCTTGTCCCCGCCGGTCAGTAGGGCTGAGCATCTTTATAATTGCATGACATACACTGGGAAGCTCAAACAGTATATGAAGATAACAATCCGTTACTGGCAATCCAAATACTCTTTAAGACCTAGAAGAAAGAGGCGGCTATAGACATCAATGGGACGATCAACGTCATGAATAATTTGTCCAATGTGTAACAGTCTATCCACACTCCACGCATCCAAAGATTAAACTAGTGTATATCGTACTTTAAAATCAAATCCTTTGCTGACTAATTTATTTTGTGGTATTTTGTAGTAGATGATTTATTGGGCGGTAGGTCAGAAGTCCGGCAATGAGAAAATAACCCAGTGACTCCAATCTCCAATCCAACTCTAGCTTCTCTATTACTCATCTCTAGTTCCTCTAGACCAGGATCACCATATGAGAGTAGATACCTCATTGTCATACATGATAGGGAAGGCATTTGAGTGCCTCGGAACGAGGGGGTATCATTGTATTGGGAAAAGATTGTGTTCATTCTTTGAAAGAAAGGTGTCAAGGCTTTCCATTTTGAAGGTCACGAATGAAGGATGTCAGCGTTCTTTGAATCACAAGTTTTATTGTTATGAAAAGAAATTGGTTAAAATCAGCAAGAGTGAATATCGAATCAGACTTACATCTCAGGTATAGGTTGAGTTTCTTTACGCGCCGTCTTTTCTTCCCTTTCACTGATGCCTTGCGTCGTTTCGCGGCAAATCTAGCGTGTGCTTTTTCAAGTTGCCGTGATAAGTATACCAATATCTTCAAAAGGTCAGATTTGGGATACCTTGCCAACTCGTTCTTCTTCATCCCGAGCAGTCTTTTCAGAGCCATATACTGATCCCTTTCCAAGTCATCCGACGACATTCCTGCAAACGGAATATGATAGCCCTGGATGTAAGCTTTCCACTCTAGTTATGCTAGGTGAATTCAGATTCATCTATTGTGCCAATGACTTACGCTTGCAAGGATAAGGCTGACGTAGGTCTGGAGATCTCAGAGGAGTCAAATGTCCTGTAGAGTTTGTGGTGCCAAATGGGCAGTAAACAAATTGTCAGTACAATTGCGAACCAGCATCGTCTCCTCCTGCCTACGGGACCACATCGCAATCAAGACAAGCTGGTCACCTCTATTGCCACCGCTGGTGATTATAGGTCACTTGTTATCCCACACAGCTAGCTACAAGTTGACTTACACTCTTTCTTGCTGCCTCATGCATAGTTCTACTGATTGAGTGTAAAACAGAGTGTTGGATTGTACAGAGCCTTACCTGCGTACTTGCCCAAATCTTCATATGCCCGAATTTCTAGCAGAACCACCGAGAAGCTTATGATCAGTAAGACTATGAGGGAGGCATTACCCATTGCCCTTATCAGCATGGAGATTGATAGAGACTTCAGGTGAACTATGAAGCGCGGAATCATTGGATGAGGCAACTTCGAGTCAGCGTATATAAACCGGTTGGACCCCGGATCTGCCCGACCAGCTTCTGCGACAAGACACGTTGCATGCGAGTTAATGTACGATCAATGCATCATCACTTGGCATCTACATCTTCTTTTCTCTCAATCATAAAGTGTACGGCCACCTGCGACTACCTTGCCATGTGCCCACCAGTGACATGAGACGTCGTTACTCGTTTGAGAAAGATTATCACAACGTTCAGCTATCAGTACGTCATACAGAAGGCTGAGTGAAGGTGGATTGCGGTAAACGGTTCTAGAGCTATACAGGAGATTTGATCGTGAGTGGGTTGTATCGGGATATAAAGCCCGAAGATCGTAAGCGATGAGACTCAAGAGTCAAGAGCCTGGTTTTCATTTTATGTTTTTCTGCTGCTCCCTATGAAGCTTTTCTCCTACCGTGATATTCCTTAACATTGCCGGTATCACAGACACCTCTGCTGCATGTCTGGGCGCCACTTTCCAGATGTCTCATGTCCCATCCGTGGGGTTTCGTCCTGGTGAAATTTTATGTGGGCTTCATAGCCTCAGGCCGGTTACCTTGCCCAATGATCATACCAGTCTATAGAAATATCTTGTTGTTACAGTGACTCTTTTCAGTTTTTGTATAGTTGCATGATGGAACAATATTTAGATTATACGATATGAAGCGGTCAAAATGTGTTAGACCGAGCTATTACCTATTCTGCTACACTCTCCTTCCTACTCAAAATTCATAGGATGATCTACACATCGGATCTTATCTGCCAGAGCAGTGTAACGCCAATATGATTATTACAGATGATCCAAGCTTTGAAGACTTATAAAGAATTTTACAGTGTCTTCAATTCCATCCCGGGATGACCATTTTGGTTGCCAATTGAGGTGCTCCTGCGCTTTGCCTGTATCGGGTCGACGTCGAGGTGGGTCATCAGCCAGAGGTGGCTTAAAGACAATTTCACTTCTTGTTGATTCTGTGGCGGATCCATCTTGTCCTTCCCTAACTTGCTTCCCTCTCACCTTTTCTACAATTTCAATTACCGTCCGTGCCCAATCAAGCACACTGTGCTCATCAGTGCTACCTAAGTTAACTGGACTATCTCTGACAGACTCGCTATCGCTATTCATGAGTGCAATAAGCCCGTCGACGAGGTCAAAGACATACATCAGTGAACGTGTTTGAAGTCCATCACCGTAAATCTCCACAGCTTCGCCCTTGAGAGCCCGAATGATGAAATTTGAGACAAGCCTGCCATCGCTGGGACTCATACGAGGTCCATATGTATTGAAGATCCGCGCCACTCGCACCTCAACCTCATTTTCACGTGCATACCCGTATGTGAGAGCTTCAGCCACTCGTTTGCCTGTTCAGTTGAAACAACGTATGGAGTCATTTGAGCAAAATCCCTCTTCCGCGAGAAGATCATACAAAGCCTTCAGGATTGGTCCATCACCTTGTTACCTACCTTCGTCATAGCATGCCCTCGGCCCGATTGGGTTTACATGTCCCCAGTAGGTCTCTAGCATGTCCCAGTTCAGTTGTATATGTCAGATGTAAACAATGTTGACATCAGTCTTCAGAAGCAAAAAGTGATGGAGATGGTGAATTTCATAGATGGAAGGCGACAAAGACCTTTTTGAGGGTGCTGTTCGGGGGAACCATAGACTTCGCTGGTACTTGAAAGCAAAAATCTCGCCTTTGTTCGTTTTGCTAGGCCCAGCATGTTCATAGTCTGTGTCAATCCCGATCATGCAGCATCCGTGACCGGCCCAAGATGAACCAGGAGTTAGAAAGAAAGGAACCATGATGTTCAGCTTGCGAAGCCTGTACCAGAGCATTGCTGGTTGGTATATCATACGGAACTGACCCCGAGGAAATTTGTTTTCATGGTTTTAATCGAGCTGAGAAGCAGCATTAGATTCAAAGGGTCTCGTCAGCTGTCCGTGGAATATCATGGATAAGGCTACTCGAAGGAATAAGAATAACAGGGAAATCTTCAACATGCTTGTATTGATATGCGACTGGACTTGCCGGACATGCAAGGTGATAGATCTGATCACATTCGATCATGAAAGAGTCCACCACGTCATGCCTGACCAACTCGAAATGAGGATGTCCACTAACATAAGATCACATCAGTATTCGCATTACGGTAATCAAACCCACGAAGTGCTGAATAGGCTTACATCCAATGGGCCACCCCAGTTTTCGAGCCGCTGAAGAAGTTGTCAAGCACTGTAACATCATGACCCATAAACATCAGACGATCCACCTTGACATTCGATCAAGCGGCCGTACAAAGATGCACTCACAATGAGTGTGAATTCGTGTTTTAGAACTCAAATAAGTCTAAATGTGACTCACCAGATGTGAACCCACAAAGCCTGCACCTCCAGTGACAAGGATCCTTTTTCGCTCATGACCAGGCAAATGCTTAACAGGTGGAAAGGTGTGAGCGGGTATGTAAGCAACTGTACGAGTCCATCGAGCCGCCATTGAGAGCTGTTGGTCACGCGTCGAGGGTGCCTGAGCTATTGGGGCTGGAGATGCTAGCGAGCCTGTAGCGGCCGGTGTTGAAGAGTTTACAGAACCCTGAGGGGTTGTAGGTGAATGAGGCGGGTCACCAAGAATGACGCTACGCAGGAGCTCGACCGGTACGTCACTTCCATTAGCCGGATCACCAGCTGTGAGATGTGGTTCGGAAACAGCCAAAGTCGAGGATCGGAAAGAATGACTCAGATCAGAAGTCTGACGTTGAAGCGGGCTGTCTGCAGAGTTGATACGGGGCGAGAGGGAGTCGACTGAGGGAGAGTTGCGAAAGGGCGTTGAAGGTTGGACCATGATGGCTGAGGATCGATGTTGGATGATACAAATGAGTTTGATGACTTGTCACAGGGTGACTGTACAAAATTCAAATCAAGCATACAAAACCAACTTAACCACTGGCACCTCTCATCACATAACTTAACCTTCAACCTTGGATCTTGACAAAATGAGCCACATCATGGTTGATGGTGTCCAATGAGGCCAAAGCAGGTCACTGAGCCCACTGGGGCTTTACATTTTGTCATTCATGGCCTGATACATGCAACAGTATTGTCAAAAAGTGATCACTCTCCTACAAAATGGATACCTAACACCTCCAACTGCGATACTCAGAAATATGTGAAATATGGAAATCATATAAAAGATGAATATTCTAGAATCATTGCTGAATTTTGCCTTGAGGGGGAATGCAGACAGTAGACAGCATACTCCATAAATGGAGTATATTCCGTAATCAGGTATTAGTTGGACAAGAAGGATAAATTCATGACCATCTGTCAAAACTTTTCACATACCTCACATCAAACAGGAAGACGAGATATATTGAAGTCTTTCCTACCGCCCTTCTTGAAAAGCTTGTCTACACTCAACAATCGTAAGGCAATTGTCATGTGGGAAATTGGGTCATGATCACTCAACTTTCTGTTGGTGGGACAAACCTCTTAGGGAGGGCTATACAAGCTATGGCTCAACAAGGTAAAGACTGGACTTGCAAAAGCTGGAGAGAAACCGAAAACATGAATATCGTCTATATGGAGATCTTGCAGACGACCTAGACATCAATTGTTCAAACCCAGTGATTGAAAATAACAATAAGTGACAGAACGAGTGCAGCTATATTCCAGGCAATTTGCAAGAAGGGATACAACTGTTTACCTAGTCGCACTAATGAACTTCATAACTTGAGATTGAAATCAAACAGCCTGGGCCCAAACGAAAAAGCTCATAGTCGAATCAAATCTGACATGACTACCGCGATCACCATAAAGTGGAATAGAAAGATGAGATGAGGACTCAAATGATAATTGATGGCTATCAACAAAACTCGAGTCTCGGAGAGCCCGGTTGCATTTGCTTCTCTACCTCTATTCGCAAAGTCTTGCCCGTGAGAGATAAGCTTCGAAGTTCGAGCAGGAGCAAGAAGGGACAAGACTAAATCCTAGCACTTCGATAACCGGTGATGAGGGGTGAACGGAGTAAGATGATGCTGAATGATGAGAAGGTACAAAAGAAAGGAAAGTGGATGACAGTCACCCAGTACATCGATAATCGGTTCTGATCATTTGATTTTTGTAAAAGGTAAAGACAGTCTCAAGAATTTCAATCGCTCATTACCATCACCATCGCTGAAAACCTCAATCGCTTCAAATTCCACATCTTTCTCATTCGAGTTCGACCTATCAAAATCAGTATCAATGTCTGCTACCCGATTCCCATCTAGACCACGCTCATCAACCATGGGAGAATATCAGACAGTCGATTGGAGTGACGAGGCAATCGATAGCCCTCTTGAATTCCTAGGTTGTTGTAGATGTTATCGTGATCTTTCTTCACATGGTACGAAACCAAGCAAGTGGAAGACAAAGCCCGTCACCTTTTGGTTACTGGAATGTGGCCATGTGGTGCGTTTATACCTGACTCCCATAAGGTCAACAGATCTGTTTGCCTATATATGCCTTCCTCCGCTGATGAAGATACTGTTGATTGAAACCGATTCATGTATACTTTTGCCACGCGTTCACTCGGTCAATGAAGTCCTGTGCTATCTGCTTAGGCTATGAGACCGGTAAGCTTGATAAACACTACTGTTTCTTTTTCAGCAAAAAAGCTGAAGGTGTCCCATGCTTTCATGACTTTCTTTAGGACAGCCCAACGCGGAGTACGAACATCAATGTCCACTACCTTCATGCCAATCATCGGGGTCAGCTATCCACGAGCTGAACGCAAACGCGCCCATTCCTTCGGCAATTGCTTCCTACCTACTACCCCCACGTGCTCTGGCCGATCAACTGACATCGGCATGGGGTTTTCAATTCGAGCAAATGTCTCTTCGAATCCAAAATTTACGTATGCAGGTTGAAAGTCAGCGCAAGACTCTGGATAGTGCTTTACCTCAGTTACAAAGCTTGAGAGCCTTGCGCGGGGAGCTCGCTGATCTGACTCAGGTCAATGATCAACTTCGAGGCGAACTGGAACGTACGCGGAACGCTCCATCAGTCCATAGAGCGTTACTGAATGAATCAAGTTCTGCTGCCCGCGAAGGAGGCTACCAGCAACCCAATGGTCGCCAGCCTCAAAATTTGCATCCAGTGAAACGAAGAGTAAGTTTAGGAGACAGTCTGGAACGCCCGTAAGCCGAGCAACCAAGTGTATATATTCTCTGATTTTGCAAGCGTATCTCACATCGTGCACGGAGCGGGATGACTTGACTTACAGAAACCAGCATATCAAGCGCCCGCATTCAACTCAGGTTGGCCTTCAGTCAAGAGAGGCGCATCAATCACACGACGAATCAGCGGATCCAAATCAAGCGGCGAACGACGCGAACGCACACAACTTGCCAATTCGGCCACCAAGTGTAGGGTTGGGCGCAGTTCAAAAAGGCCTGAAGTAGGTCGTGATGATCCACCTTTAGCAATAATTCTATACTCTAACGCAAGCCCTGGTGATTCTGTTATCAGGCGGTATGCTTTTGATCCGAATCGTCCGCCGTCGCGCAACGTCGAACACCCCACGCCGCAGAAGAATGATCGCCGTGGAGCAGGTTCTGGGCGGTTCAAGCCACCTTATCTGAACGTGATCCCCGAAGACGTGCGTGTTGAGAGAGCCGGCGCAGATCATCGTCGAACAATACCGGAATCGCGAACCCCGTTGGCAGCGCTGCAGACTGGAGTGCCGCGTTATCGTCCAAATGAACAACAAAGACCGGCTACAGTTCAGAAACCATTGTCGAAAGGCAAAGGTATCGTCCCATTGGCGATCCCTCCTCGACATCTACAAGCCAGAAACGTATCACGCCATCAGTTGCCCAATACGCTTCCAAATCACGAAATCCCTTCCTACAATCATCATCACCAGCCCACTACCATCCCTCGAGCAAGTAATCACTCCGGATTCACCTACCATCCCGAACCAAACGAAAAGGTGTGGGATCAAGAGATGATTCAGTCAACATCTAGATATATTCCGCCGTCAACGCCATCTACTCGGGGTAGAGAAGAAAGCCGAGCTGGGGCTGCATCAGTTGCTGGTCGCGTGCAAAATATAGGTGCACTAAATCATCGACTGCCAATGCCACCAGATATTAGCGATAAGGTATCACGTGTTCCACGCTTCGGACCTGCAAGGGGTGGTCCATAAAATTTTCGCTTTCCTCCCCTGACAGAGGTCGAGCACGTCTGTGTTTTCATCTTCATTACATCTTTTGTGAAACTACAAGTTATGCAAGGATGTGTGGTGACATTAAGAGTCTTTGTTCGCATGTCGAAATGAATTTTCAAAACGCAGAACACATGACGTATAAACAAAAAGTCGACCTTTGTCAGATGTGAACATACGCAATCTTAATAATAAATGGTCTGCATTGCTGAGGTCTCATCAAAAAGGTTTTGTGTGCCATTAGCTTCTTCCAATGAGAGCGCATCAATATATTTAAGCATCTGTTCAAGATGTAAAAGACTGATTTGATACTGAACACAAATTGCATCGAGGTGATGAGTACCATCAAGTTTGAGTGGTAAGTCAAGTGGAACTTCTATAGCCTCTAAACTTGTTGTCGCACTTTCAGAAGTCGCAGTACGAGAACGTCGGTCGCGACGTGACTTGGATGGTTTAGATGAGTTCGAGGGAGGTGGACATTCATCAGCATCAAGCCGTTTGATCACTGACAGCCATGGCGGTTCACGAACAGCCGTCGAACGACCTCGTGGGTGGCCATGGCGTACCCGAAGAGAAGCTAAGGAGGCCTCAAGAGTAGCTCTATGATTTTGGTTCGGTAAATCGAGTGAGTTGATTCGCTGAGCGCGTCCGGTGTGCGGAAGACGAGCGATGTCTGGGTGAAGTGCCCAGACTGGATAACAGTGTAGACGTTTGAGAAAGCCCTTGATGGTACCAAAGGAGATGAACCGTCGAACATCGATTGGAAGTTTATGGACTTGATTTTGCTCCATCCTTTTGGATCCAATGAATGAGATACAGAAAAGATGTTATTGAGCTTATTCATATACAAGGTCTACCTCCGAGCACACTCACCAGTCGTGTACAGTCACGCCAGACCAAAACTTGGTGTATAATGTCAGCAGATCAGAAATAGGGATAGCGAGCTTATCTGGCGCCAGCTCTATGTAAGCCTCCAACTCTTCCTGCATTTCTTGTGACTCTGGGTACTCAGAATCACCAAGTGCATCCAGAGCTGGTCCACCGACTAGGGTGTAGCAATTCGAGAATCGAAAAGCATCGGTCATGATGCAACATCCAAAAAAGCTGAGGAGAGTAAACAGGTACAAGATGAATCAGACTCTTTGGTCCCTACTTTACTCTATGAAAGTTAGCTCACAAAGCGATGATACTGACACGAGGTGTTGCATACATTCTCGTGTGAGATATAGATCTACATCAGCCTGCTTAGAAATCTTTTGTACGGTGGCTGTACCATCGATAAAAGGAACGAGCTATGCTGACCAGCGTGGACCGAGAATGTCAATATTGTCAATCGCCCTCCAGATAACGGATAAAAATGTACTGAGAGACTGGGCAGGAGTCGAGATTTTGCTTACCTTGTACATGGTCAAATCCCAAGTCACATCATCCCTTAATCTCATAAGGGGGGCTAACGCAATAGGTACATCCCAATCTTCAACTCTTGGTGGGTTTCCATAAAATGGGAAAAGTTTGAGGTCCAACGTTCGAGATGAACCGAATGAGATTGAAAGCTCAGAGAATGAATTCAGTTCTTCGAAAAGCCCCTCAAGCATTGATTTCACTTTTAGGGGTGAGTCTGGTGCTGATATTAAGGACAGTGTTTGCTGGTTATCGAGAATGTGTAGGAGAACGAGTTAGTGTGTAAATCTATTGATAAGATGATATGTCAATACTAACTTCCATTGACCTCAAGAGTCTACCCGTTCTACGAGCCACTGGCTCGTAGCCAGACAGCTCTGCATCTCGATCGAACACAAAGCATAGATTGAACATCAGAAAGTTTCGTTCATATTTCGCTTCGTCCTCAATTAAGATCGGGTATCCCAAAATTTTCGCTTGTTCCGCCGCTATGGTGACAAGATGTCCGCAGAGATGTTTCTTCAAATGTGTCAGATAGGATGAGACATTATGTCAGCACGAGTGTTATTTTATTCAGTTACTTTTCTTTACTAAAGATTAGACGAAGGACAAAACTGACTTTAGGTAAGACGAAATCGAGCACATCTGAGAACTCCAATAAAGTATCAGCGCTTCTCACTCTTGAGCCATCATCAGCCAATCCAGAAGTTTGACGTCTCGGATTCTTAGATTTAGGTCCAGTTTCTATAACACCAACCGATCCCTCTGGAACTTGATATGAGATCTCGCAACCTTTGTCTTCATCCCATCGTGCAAAAAATACTGCTCTTAATCGTGGAAGATAATCTTGAGCTTGCTTGAAGGGTTGAAGTCGAGCCATCCTCGGAATCACTGAAAGAGAGGGAAGTACAACTCTGGATTGACGTAGTGATATTCGCTTTTGGAATCACTGGTGCTGGCAAATTGAATCTGAAGTTGAAGGCATTCATTTACGATTTCAAGCCTTGAGGCCGTCGGCAGGATGTTTTCTATAAAGTGCTTTTGATTTCACACACCGCACTATAAAGCCTACAAGCGTAACTTGTTGTGTTATATGAAAGCTACAGGGAGAACAAGCTACGCTTGTCAAACTTAACTAAGTCCCAGTCTGGACCTAACCACCAACTCCAGAGAGGGACTTACGCCTAAAGTCATTTTTTTGGCGTGAGATCTGTCGGGGCTTTGCACCAAAAAATGGTGGCCTTATAGAACTTTTTTTTGTCATTTTAGCTTGCCTTCACATTCATTATAAAAAATATGCGCCTTGAATCTGTCTACATCCTCTAACTCTAGGCTTATTGATATGTTGAGCGGCTCCAAAAATATCTAGAGAAGTTGGTATTTTGATGCCACACCAAATTTCAAACTTCAGACACGGAGCAGTCCAAATTACGGTAAATTTCACCTTTGGGCCCTAAACAAACTTTATATTTATCTACACAACCAATCAAGATAACAAGAAAAAATAAGTACGAGGTTGTAGAGGGAGTCCAGGCGCACAATCTTCATAATAAATGTGGAGGAAAGTTGAAATTACAAAAAAAAAATTTATAAGGCGGCCAGTTTTTGGTGCAAAGCCCCGACAGATCTCATGCCAAAAAATTGACTTTAGGCGTAAGTCCCTCTCTGGAGTTGGTGGTTAGGTCCAGACTGGGACTTAGTTAAGTTTGTACGCTTGTAGGCTTTATAGTAAGGTGGTGACCCGACCCTGTAACTTCAGGGCCGGCCCCAGGGCCAAATTGAGCCCTGACTGGGCCCGATGACCTCTGGAATCTGATCAGGGCCGACCAGGGCCGGTAGGAGACTAGCGAGAAGGCATTTTTTTGGTGAAAGGGTCGGCGCCCGGGGGCCTGAGGCGCCTATAAGGCCATATTCAGCTGTCATCAAGCCAATTTTGAATGCCCTGGGGCACGCACCATCAGCTCTGTGAAAGTCGTTGGGCAGAGCCGGCCGGGCCGGGCCGGGTCTGGGTCACAGCCCAAGTTAGTAGCAGTACACATTACATTGTGGAAATCAGTTTCCTCAAGTCAAAACCCAATTAGCGCTTGAGCCGTTGGCCAGGGACTTACTCAAGTTTGTGTCCCAGTCTGCAACTTCCTTCAATTGTGGATTTTGTTTGCAATAGGTTCACATGCTACCCTCAAGCTATATTAGGTGATGTGTATACATGATATAGCATGTAGAGGAACAGCTCACTGGTTTGAATTGCTTTGATGCAACCATTCTTCCAGCTCTACCAGTGAGCATGAGCCAAAGATATGAATGATGTCAAAGGTAGCTGGAACCTTGAAAGGGACTATTGGGTATGTATACACCGTGACTGTCATTCGACTTTCCAAGTTGGAAGAGGAAAATACTTAATAGTACAGTTTGTCATAAAAGGATCCAATACTGAACACCTGAGCCATAACACCCACACTACATATGTGCAGCACGCTAAGTAAATAGTTGTCTATCATGTACAGCCATTTGCATAATTGATGACTTTGAAGAAAAAAAACCTTGAGTTTTCAAATAAAGAACCTCAAGTTTTTTTGACAAGTGACTGATTTTTGTCAAAAATCTGCTGAGTTTTTCAAAAAGTCAGTGAGTTTTTTTTGGAAACCTGGCTCAGTAATTCCAAAAGGGAAAGAGCTCACTCAGTTTTTGAAAAACTCGATGAGTTTTTGAAAAAAACTCACAGGTTTTTTTTTGAAAACTCAAGTGTTTTCTCTTTTTCCAAAGTCATCAATTCTGCAAAGGGCTGTACATACAGGTCTGCTCAGTTTTTTGCCCATCAGAATAAATAAATCACATGTTATACCACATGTAAATTTTCTGACTATGAAAAAATTGTCCCAAGAATTCACTACATATAATTCTGTAGCTGCTTAGGCAATATTCTTGAAGCTATTTCTTAGTAACAGAAAGGGTATTACATGCAGTTGAGTTGATGAGATTACATCAAAACATTGAGTCAGTGTATGTAGTCAATCTTTTGAATGCTTTTGTCAATCTGAAAAAAGTTACAGTATGTACTATATATGAATAACTTATCCTGATGAGCAGATACCTGAGCCAAACTATATGTACATGATAACCATCTCTTCACTGAGCCTGCTATACAGATGTAGTGTGGGTGTTATTGGTTCAGGAGCAATAGATCATTTTATGACAAAGCCTACTCCCAATCATTTTTTCCTACCCACTTGGTGAAGTTGAACAATAGGGGTACACAAACATGAAAACCCGACCTAAAAACCCATGGACAAAACCCATGACAGCCCAATTGTTTTTTGGGTTTTGTCCAACGGGAAAGCGGAAAACCCAAGGACAAAACCCAAAAAACAATCAGGTTGTCATGGGTTTTGTCCATGGGTTTTTAGGTCGGGTGTTCAAGTTTGTGTACCCCTAATGTTCACAGTGTATATATGCTTTATACCTAAAGAAAATACACAGGGCAGCTCAAGGGTAACTTGTGAACCCATTGTGAACATAATATTGACAAGATCCACAACTTCCCTCAATTGGGATTCAAACAAATCAATTCCTGCAGTGTAATGTGTGTATTCTATCTAAGGGGGACTACCAAACCTCCATATCATATTCTCTTTGTACATTTTTAGTGCCCCAAATAGAGACATGGAAAAGAAAAAGAAAAAAGAAAAAAAGCATCAAAAATGACTGCATAATAACTAAATCTATGAAACCTTTCTAACTAATTGACGAAGTATGTTTTCAAATAAATGGATCTACCCATGTGTTCAACTTATTGTGCCAAATATGGGAATAATGCTGATGTATCTAATAGTTCAACTGCTGAAATTATATATACTTGTATTTTTTCCTGCTTCATCTTCTTTCTGACACCATGCAAATATCCTTGTAGCACATCAAAGTGCACACACGCAGGTCTTTCCTTAGACCTGGTAAAGACCCATCAAAGAGGTGCCACAACAGGTGCATGTTCCCCTTATCAACTGCAGCATTGACAGTCAGTTGACCCCAGCTGAAGACAAAGGATTCTGCAAATCCTATAAATAGATCACTATTCACAAAGGGTGCCCAACAACAATCTCAGTCCAAGTCAAAATCAAGATACTTTGATATTTGTTTCAAAACTTGCCATGCTTTCTTGTCAACATTCTACAATGATATTGGCATGGTGCTAGTTATCTTTGGTAGTTTCCAGTCATATCCAACTTGTCACATATATTTTCCACTGATGATGTTCCAGTTAATAACAACTTAGCTTGTTCATCCTTATCTGTTCCCAATGTTCTGTCCTCCCAATATAATGGTTTGATTGTATTGAATCCTTGTGCCTGGGTGTACTGAATGTCTTTGAATGTCAGTCTGCTCTGTGCCAAGAACTCTCTCCAATGCACATGTTTAGGTTCATAGATAGAAAACTTTACATATTTCTTTCATTAACGGTAGCACCTTGCAGCCTTGTACGTTCCACTTAGGATCATGTACCTCCTGGCTCAATTCCTTTCCTTTATTAATGGCTGCAGAGCATCTTTATTCCACCACACTTTGTGACAATGCTTCACCACCAACATATTTGATCCAAGTTATTCTTGGCTTTCAAACCTTGGAGAAACCTAGCCTGAGTTTATCATTCAAGGTATTCTCTTGCACTGAGATTACCTTGGATCAAAACCTTGGGAAGCTTCTGCCCAAGGATTTACCTCCAATAATGCCCTGCATATCTCAACTGGGCAGTGCTTGTTTGTCTTGACAGTTTTGCGTTGTTGGAGAAATGATTGATTTATTGTTCCTGTAATCAGATTCCCCGTAGTGTCAATCTCATTTGTACTTTGTGATCTTTCAGGAAAGAGACTTTGCTGTTTTTTGGTATCATCACAATAAGACTCCTTTTATAATTTGTGTGTAATGTGCTACAACACATTGAGATAACTCCAAATTTATCCATGTAAGTTCTATAGAAGTTATACCTCTAGCTTGTGGGTAGACCATTGGGACACTTCTTTGTGAGGCAATTGTGAATCCTTCCAGGCCTTGAGGTCAACAGCAAGATGTCACCACACTTTGACAGCTGAGGCACAAAAAATTACACATTTGTTTTGTATGTATGTAACCTGGCATCAACATACTTCTGTTCATGGGATTATTGTCATGTTTGCAATATTTTATGGTATTTATTTGGAATTACATGCCCAAATACAGCAGTTAGAGGCCTGTGTGGTTGATATGCCATCCAAAGCTGCCCAGGTGTGTGGGTTAGGTCAATGGTGCTTGATACCCACATGGAGAACCTACTTATTGGCTCCCATACACTATCCTGACTTCCAAAACCGCCACATCAACAAATACTCCACCACCACTTCTCCTCAATCACCCCATGGCCCAAAATATGTTCATCTCCTTTTTTCACAGCTCTTTTTTTTCTGGCATGCTTTTCACTCTTCTAGCCAAGAAGGTACACCCCAAATAGTATGGGTCAAGGTGTTGGCTGTCCAATACCTCTGTGAAGGCAAGATAATCAATAGGGTCCAACACCTTTCGATTTCACCTGTTAGCTTGCGCACACTATCACAATGGCACATGCTCTATTGACAAATGACCTCTGTAATTTGCACCCCTGAAGTTTATGACAGGCTGAGGAGGAAGACCAAGTTGACCAATGAGCACTGAGACTTTATGCCGGAACTCCTCAATAAGAGCCCTGGAATCTATTCAGACAAGTATCAGCATGCCGTGTACTGTCAAAGTGGAATTTGGGTCAAGATTTTCCTGAACTTGACTTTCAAAAAGTCTTGAACTGTCTATCCAAATCAAAGCAATATCAAGCAAGCCTGAGATCTATACATGGTGGGAGGGTTGACAACCAATGTT